TACAGTAGGGAACCGATTATCCGGAACGATCGGGACCATCACTATTCCGGATAACTGATTTTTCCGGTTTTCTGAATCGCTACAAAAAGCCGTTTTTTTTATTGTTAAACCCAACTAAAAAAATTTTTTTTTAGGAAATAATCTTGAAAAGAAGAAAAAACGATGAAGTAATACACTAATGATTATTTCCAAAATGATGGTAAGGTGAACATCTTTCAAAAAAGAAAGAAAAATCCTAAAATCTTATAAGGAAAAAAAAATTTTGTTTAAAAAATGGCGGGAAAATTTATCGAATTTCGTTCCGGTTTTCTGGTTTTCCAGTTTTCTGATTTCCGGATAACGGGTTCTGTACTGTACATGGAAATTATGTAAAAAATTAGAGGTTTGTTGTACCTTTCAGATGTAAATGAAATTTTTTTAAATCTATGCAAGTTTTCTATTTACAACAAAAACTGTGGTTAGTTTTGTGAATTGCCCATAGATTTATTTGTATTCAGATTTTCTTCTTTAGTTTAGTTGAGTAAAAATACACAGTTTAATATTGAAAAATTCTTGTACCTTTTTATTGAAAGATTCTTTAAACATTATCAGATTCACTTATAAACAAAGACAATCTGCTGTGCAATTGAAATAACAAAGTATGTGCTTCACAATAGATTTCGAAAAAAGGCTAAAATATAATTTAAAAAAAATTGATGAAACAGAATTAATTTTTGAAAGAAAAAAAATTGGTTTTTATTGGTTAACAAAACTGCCAATTATATAAAAATCGCAATTTTGAATTTTTTGCTGCTTGATTTTTCTATTGCATAGCTGAAATTCTATCTTAAGCTTTTGTTTTGCACTATTAGTTTTTAAAGATACATAAATAAAAAAGCAAGAAAAGGATTTTAAAAGTAACTTATATCAAGTTTGATATGTCAAGACGAGAAAAAAAGCATGCAACAAAATGTGAAAAATAATAGTCATTGTTAAAAAAAAACATAAACATTAATATAAAACTGTATCAAAAACAACTTTATTTTTAACAATAATTTTTTTCTCTTATTTTCATTGTACACCTTAAACGAGGAACCTGCGTAGTATTTTTTTAATTTTTTGATATAAAATTTCAAACCATTTTATGTTGATAGCCACCAATTTCAGTTCAGTGGGTTAACTAGTTATTTTGTGATTAATATTTAAAATTGCTTGATTAGCCACACCCCCTGAAACGCAGTTAGTTTCTCCATCTCGGCTGATGATGTCAAAATATAGGGAAAATACGACTCTCATCACCTTCTGATACAGTAAAAGTGCTTGCCGTCTCTTGTAGGACAGTGATAAACATTCTCAAAAATAACTCCAAGCACTTACAGCATATATTGTTTTATTGTATCACGTTGTAATAGCCTTACATTTAACACACCGTATAAAATTTAATAATATAAACATAAATATAAATGTACCAAAAGGCGAAAAATGACAGGATTAGTGCAAAGCCATCAAACGTGATGACCAAAAAGAAGGGAATAAAAAATTGGGAACTATCTGAAACTTTATTATTTTGTTATAAAACCATTTTACAGTACTTAGTAATATTTTAATTTTATAAGAATGTTTTTCTTTTGATTAGGCTTCTCTGAAGAAATCATTATTTATGCTGAATTAAAATGTTTATGAAATGATCTTTTTGAAATATGCCTTTTTCTTACTTTATTCTTTGAAAGGATTTTATTCTTAAAGAGTAATCGTGTACAGGTTATTCCTTTTTATAAATATTTTTCTTTAATTTAAATGACCTATTTCGTTTCGTTCTGCTTTAACTTTCTTATCTAAAACATACGTTCTTTTGTTTTTTACTTTATTGAAATCGAAATTTTAGAGATAAAAATAATTCATTTTATTTTTGTGTAGTTGGGCGAAGGGAAAATGTAAAAAGAATTAAAATAAAAAATGGAAGTGGCTTAAAATCTTTTGCATCACTAAAAATTTCGAAACAGTTCTTATTTCTTACAACACTTTAGAATGACAAAATTGATATTTTTGATTAAAAAATATCAATTCTCAAACCAAACATCCTTCTCTCTCTGCATTAAACCAGAAAGTTAACTCAATTTTGGCAATAATAATAATAAAAAAAAGTATTAGAATAAAATTCCTTTGTAGACAACATCACCATACCTTATGACAAATTTAGGTTCGGCGAATTCTGTTTACTCAGGTACTATATACTGACGTCATAAGCGATCCCCGCCTCTTTTTGAGTCACGTGAAGTTAGTTTTGTTTTAAGCTAATTTTGAGTTATGATTTTTAAAATTACAGGTCAATTTTGAACATACTGATTTGAATTTTGAGATTTTTATGTTATAGACTATTTAAAATAATCAAGATAATGTGATTACCCTACGCATGCAGGTTCCTCATTGCAATGAATTCATAAACAATGCATATTTTTTTTCTTTAAAATTAAAAATCTTGAAAATTTTAAAGTGGCTATGTTTTTTCAGAAAATGTAAAAAAGTGTAAAATTGGAATATATAATTTCTGGAAAATCTTGTATATTAGTATATATTAAAGTTAGTTAAAGTTTAACAGTTAAGTTAAAGTTTAACAGTTCAAACCTTCGATAAAACTGTTAGATTGAAAACCTCAAAAGTTGTATTTTTGTAAACATTTTCATTGATTTTACTTAACTTATATCTGTTAAAATAGGAATTAAAAAAGATACTTAACCCTCTAGTAGTCATGCTCATACAATGAATTTACCTATTTATGTGACTGCCAAAGGGTTAAAAAAGGAAATGCTTTCAACTTTCCAAACTTGCTTCACTTTGAAATCCCATTTCAGAGAAGAATTATCGTCATAAGTGTTCTCACTGCACAAATAATATTTGGATATTCTTGATTTTTTAGGCTTATTTTTTTAAACTTTATTAAAACATAGTTTAAGCATAGTAAATAAATTGTTCACCCTTAATTACCATTTAATGGTTTAAAAAACATGCTTAATGTAATGAGTTTTCATGGCAGATTTGTCGTGATAGGCGTTTAAAAATTTAACTTTTGCATCTAAAACAATTAACTAAGGCCATATTTGTGGTCTGTTCCTAAATTTCTGCTGCTTAAATTCATTTAATAGTCATTTCTCTTAGGGTGTCTCGTATTAGTTCCACTGAAAGGGGTTAACACACCTAACCATAATACTCTAAAAACAGATCTTTTTTTACCAATCATCTATTTGTGTTCTAATTGATTGGTTTCTAGTTATTCTTTTGTTGTTGATCTATTTCTTTAAAAAATATTTATTCATTTGTTCTATCTTATGATGACAAATTTTTCTCAATTTAGCATCTAATATTTATGACATTGCACTGTAAGGAAAATCTGTCACTTATGTTGTAGATGTTTAAAAGCAATTGATCTGTATTCTATTTGTTTTCACTTTATCTTCTATTTTTCAGAATGACTGGCCATGATTGTAAAAATTACCTCCAGCAAATCTACAAAGTTAATGTTGCTCAAGTTCATACCAAAATTATAACTGGAGATTTAAAACGAACTCACAAAAACTATATAATTAAAGATCCAGATTACAAGTTAGCCATTGTTAGTTTAGTAAGTTTAATTTTTATACATTTTCTGTGTTAAAAGCATATAATTTACATTAAATTTTGGTCTGAATCTAGGACAAACTTTGCCTTTTACAAAATTTGATGGCGAAGAATTCCAAAATTTTGTACTATGCTTTTTGTTCAGTGTCTTGACAATTTTTTCCATGTAGTAACTATCTCGTGATATTTTATCTTATTGTGATTCATGTACCTATCCAACTTCATATCAATATAAAACAGGTTGCGCAGTTCTAAATACATAGCCATTGGTCCCAAAATTTTGGAGCCCCTTCCTCCTTAACCCCTTTAGCCAAGAACTGGTTGATGGAATACTTAATTTTTTTTTTTAATGTTTGATTCAAATATTTTCAATGAATCAGTGGAAACCTGGAATATAGTCAGAGAAGTGATTTTGGTAAAAATGCCAGGCAGATATTTCTTTCCCGAAACCTTGAGAAATCCTTCAAGATTACTAATTTTAAAATATGCAGTTATAATAAGTCTAATTAGAAACTCTTAATGAGTATTTAAAGTCACAACTTTTTGTTGCTTGCCCTTGCATCTAAGTTTTTCAAATTATGATGTAAGCTTTTCAAGGCATAATGGAATGAATTGAGACTGAAAGTGACATTAATTTTTATAATTGTTTTGATTACTCTACAAGAAATAACAAATAGCAAAAACTTGTTCCATGTATAATTGCAGTACTAAAGACTTCATCTACCACAGTCCTAAAAACATTCAACACCCACTACTTGTGTTATAAATGGATAAAATATAATTTATAATGCAGAGTGTTTTCATTGGAGAGAAGGGGATGGAAAAGAGATCTTTGAAAGTCCCAATTACTGTCTGTAAAATTAAAAGAATTGCCATTAAAGTTAAATTTGTAATTTGAAAAATGTATTTCTGAAGTTCTATGTTGACACATAATTCCCCCCCTCCAAAAAAAAAAACTCTTGTGGCATATCTTGTAGCTCTAATACCTCAAAATTTGACACTTGGAACTGTCCATTAACCATACAAAGTATTACTGCATCTTATATATATCTTAGTATATTTGTAATTAAATGAATTTTCATTACTCTTGATTTATTTTATGAAGAAAAAAGAAACAGTCAATATTTTCTTAATAGTGAACTTAATAAAAAGTATGAATTGATAAGCCCTTCGATTATCTAATACTTATTTTTAACAAATGCTATTAAAAATCTTATATGAGTTAGATTTGTTTTCAAAGTTTAATTAATAATATTAATTTAATGAAAAATGTTAAGAAACTTAAGTTAAGAAACTTTTTGATAAATTTCTATCTTATAAATAGAATCCTGTATCTAAATGAATTCTGATTAACTGATTTTTTAATGTTAAAAAAAATTAATAGAATCGTTAACCTGAATAAAAATAATTTTAATTATAAATTTAATAATTTTTATTAATAAATCCTCTAAAGTCATCATTTTAAACTTTAACCCACTGACGGTTCTGCACGTAAAAANTAAGAAACTAAAGTTAAGAAACTTTTTGATAAATTTCTATCTTATAAATAGAATCCTGTATCTAAATGAATTCTGATTAACTGATTTTTTAAAGTTAAAAAAAATTAATAGAATCATTAAACTGAATATAAATAATTTTAATTATAAATGTAATAATTTTTATTAATAAATCCTCTAAAGTCATCATTTTAAACTTGAAATAATTTCCCCTTTTCTTTGGCTGAAACATGTTGGAAACCCCACATATGTAGTAATAATTGATATTTTTTATTAGTAATTTACTTAAACTAATTAACTAAAATCAAATAAAAAGGTATAACAGAATTTTTTTATATTTGTTGAAATTTTGGAATTCATTAAACAAAGTTTGAAATTTATTATAAAATTGCAATTTTGCATAAATAATAATAATGTATAATCTTTTAAAAAGGATATTTTTTTTAAAAATTAGTTTTAGTTTCGACATCACTGGAAAATTAAATTATGATAAATTTTTTCTCAGTTTTAAATTATTATTTCATTTTTAAAGCAAACATTTTCTATGGATTTAAATTTAGTTAATAATAGAGTGTTAGTTCGAGGTTATATTTATTACACTTAAGCATTGTACAGATAAAATTGTTACATGATTTGAGTAGTAGTATTTTAAACATGATGGTTTAAGCCATGGTGTCGTAAACCTTACCTATCCTGTTTGAAAAATTTCAAGCTCATACTATTTGTGTCCTCACAGAATATCTACGGTAGTAAACTGACGAGATTTAAAGCTCATTTATTTTTAAATAGCTCCAATTCTGAAAATATTTTTGTTTTGCTACAAATTATGTTTTACTAAGTCAATCTGTATATTCTTAACCTATATATTTACCAGTGATTAATTTTTTATTTTTTTATTGGGAAAATAGAATTAGTATATTTAATATTGCTGTTTATTAAAGAAATAAAGAAGTTTATAACTTAACTTTCTAGTAAGCACAAATATTTTATACTTGTAATTAATATCATTCCTATAGCCTTTGTCCATAAGTTTCAGAGTATTAGGAGTGAACTTACTACTGATGTACTCCAAAATTCTTTGTTTTGTGTTTCATACTTCCATCTTTAAAAACCAAAATTTACTTAGAGTACTAAACTTCTTTGCTGCAATATGGTCAGAGGAATGGAGCAATGATACTTGTGGGGTTAGGAAAAAAGTGAAAGACAGTGTTAGCTCTTTCTCTTATTTGTAGGAAAAGTGTACCATTGCAGTTGGGTATGAAGCTAGAAACCAAAATCATACTTTTACTGCTTGGAAAAATGTTTGGACTTGACTTGTGGGAGATGCTGCAAGGTTGTAGAGATTTGTCATACTTCACTAGAATGAAATGTTAAGATGTGTTATATTTTTGCTTCAATAATATTGTTCATGGAGAATACGAGGGTTGCTATTTATATTTCTGGCCTAACAATGAAAAAGCAAATATGTAGGATCGAAATTGGTTTTATTGTTTTTCAAAATATTCTCCATGATGATCAATACACTTTTGCATGCGTTTGAACCAATTTTCAAAGCACTTTTTCCAGTCCGATTGAGGTAACTCCAAAACATGCGTTTTGAATGCATCAACCGCTTCTTCGGGGGTCGTAATTTTTGATGTGTGGGAATAAAAAGAAGTCATTGGGTGCCAAATCAGGGCGGTACGGCGGATGACCCATCAGTTTGATCTTTCGCTCCGCCAGACATGCCTTTGTTTGAGTCGATGTGTGAGAGCTCGCATTGTCATGATGAAGAATGATTCGCCTGTTCTTCTGCTTTTTTCGAAATTCTCTGATGACTTCTGGCAAACAAATGGTCGTGTACCATTCAGAATTGACCTTCCTGCGTTGCTCTAACGCCACTGTTGCCACATGACCGTTAATGCCAAAGAAACAGGCAATCATTTGTTTCGATGTGCTTCTTCCTCAAACAACTTTTGTTGGTTTTGCCTCGTCTTGGAAGACCTATACAGTTTATTGCTGTTTTGTTTCCGGCTCATATGCATAGATCCATGATTCGTCACCTGTGTAGATGTTATACACAGCCTTTGATGTACCTTGAAAGTATTTTTCCAACATTTCCTTGCACCAATCGACACAAGCCATTTTTTGAGCGTTTGACCGATTATGCGGGATCCAACTGGAAAAAAAAATTCACTCAAATGTTCATGCAATATTTTATTGATGCTAGTCATACTAATGTCCAAAGACGAAAATATCTCACGGTATGTCACATGACGATCTTGCTTTATCAGTTCACGCACAGCATCGATCTTTTCTGGCACAACAACGGATTTTGGACGACCTGCACGGGATTCGTCCTGGATCGAACATCGACCACAATTAAATTCCTTATACCAATTTTTTACAGTGCTGTAGGATGGCGCTTTATCGCTGAATAAAGAATTAAGTCCATCGAAGCACTCTTGTCTTGACAATCCACGTCGAAAGTTATGAAAAATAATGGCACGAAAATGTTCACGATTCAATTCCATTTTTTGAAAGAGAAGAACTTTTCAATTTACTTTCAACAACACAAATGAAGCTATAATGGTAAATGGTCTGCTGAATTTATGTTTAAAAATATCAAACTTTCGATTAAAATCGTCTGCGGTCGCCTAGCAACACTTACTGTTGCCAAGGCCAGAAATATAAATAGCAGCCCTCGTATATCTTTTGTGTACTAATTTAAATTTAATAAAACTAAATTTCTTTTATCTAATAATTATTTGAATTAAACATTAAACTGAAAAATTTATTAATACCTACTCTATAAATAGAGCTGAATAACATGAGTAAAACACAAATATTCATACAAAGACAAACATACTATAGTTTTGGTTTCTTCCACCATGAAAAAAAACTTGACAACTCTGGTTTGAACTATATTTTTAAACAATTATGGAATAATTTTGGACAGTAAGATTGATTGTTCAAAATTATATTTCTGTGCTATTATGTGTTACTGTAATTGCCATTTATTATAGTCATTTTTAGTTTCATGAAGATAAAGTATAATATATTGTGCATATATTTATTAATTTGTTTTGCCCAAACAATTTTCAGGACTTTTACTTTGTGTCACAATTACCCTTAAAATGTAATATATTGCTTCATCAGGAATCATTGTGAAAAATAAAAAGTATTAAAAGCATATTAAAATTTTCACATACTCTTTCTAATAGGCGAGTTTCTTGCTGAGGAATAATGCCTTTTAACGACCAAGAAAATTAGACATCCATTTTAAGACTTTTTTGATGGATACTTTTTAGAAGTTGAAGTTATGGCATTTGTTTTACATATTTTATGCTTGAACGGGGATTCAAAACCATATCATGACTCCCCCCNTCACCCCCCCCCCCCGGACCACTTGAATCAAACATGCACTTGCATGGCCTCAGTTTTTGATCACATGCTCAGTTTTAAGACATTATGGTTGAAAAGTAATTTTGTTAGGTCATAATGAACTTGTCCAAACTCTGTCAGCATAAATAATAATCCAATATTTAATGCTGGGTGAAGCCTTATTATTATTGCTGTCTTTATTCTATTTATTATTCAAATCCTTTTTAAGTTTATGTGTCCAATTTATTTATGTTGTATTAAAAGACCATTTAAAAAAAATATGTTTTAAAATTTTGTTGGGGAAAAATATTAAATAATATTTTTCTTCATAATTTTTTTAAAAAGTAAATTGAGCTAGTTTTGTAACTAAGGAGCTGGTTTTGACGCAAGTGACTAAGGTCAAAAATATATTTCCTTTTGCATGTTGAATTTTTTAAAAACTGACTTTTGCACTATTTTTTTTCTTTTTATTATTTTTGTTAGAACAGGAAATATCTAAAAAAAAAGTTATATTATGCATCTTATTTAATTAGCATTAATTGAGCTATTGCATCTGAGAATGAAAGCAATTTTGTAAGTAAATAATGTATTAATTTATAAATTAATAACATTCAAATGGAAATTAAATTGTTTAGTTATTTCAGTGTCAGGTGTGTATTACAGTTAACTGAAAACACAAATTATTCTTATTTGATTTCTAACTTATAAAACATGCAATAAAATACATTACCTTGAAACTAGATTTTTCAATTTACGCCAGTTATGCATTCAATTACTTGATTATTCGGCCTCTTATTTAACTATTTTTGGCATTCATTTTAAATTTTTACATTCATTTTATTTTTTACATCAAACATTTATATCAAAACACTTAGTCAAATTAACCATTATATATTTATCTCTTAGCCACATGGACAAGTTTTTAAGTTTCCTGATCTTTTTCCTAAAGAAAAGCAAGAGAAAAAAGATAAAGATCAACAACGTTTAATGGATCAAGCTGAAGGCCTCGTGAAACAACGTGAAAGAAATTCAGATCGTATGGATGTACCTTCATGGTTTTAAATTATAGTTATTTTTATAATAATTTCTTTGTGTGTATGTATAATTACAGAGAAGAATGGTGTTAAATTGTACTAGATTTGTTTAAATAAAATAGTTTTTAATCAATTCGTGTAATTTTTAAGAAAAAAAACTTTCATGTTCCTTTTGTTGTAATATTTAAAATGCGAATAATGCCTCTTTTTCGTGTGTTATATTTGGTCTTAATTTATTGTCCATTGGTGCCTTCAAGTTTCATTTATCTATTTTACTTTCCTTCATATCATGAATTAAATAAATTAAAAATTTTACAAATTATTAAGATTAAAAAAGCATTCCTATAGCAAAAAGTAATTTGAGACTCAGTTGTTTACGAATTTCTAAGTTATGAGTTTTCTGTAACTGGCTTTAATTTAATTTATTAAGTTATATTCAAATGAGTCTTAGTGTAGCTGAATGGTTTTTGGGAATCTGAAATCTCTGAGCTCTTCTGTGCTAATTATCTCTGTAAAAGAGAATTTAAAAAAATTGGATTTGAATTGTTAGATAAAAGCATAAAATCTGATATTATAACTTGCTTTCTTTTTTTTAAGATGTTCTTTTTAAAACGGCTAAGCTGGCCATTCAGGAAGATTAATAAAATGAACTTTCCCATTTGGTCATCCAAAACCATATTATATGAAATCAACTGGTTTCCGTGTAGAGATTCAGCCAGTTGACAACGACAATGCTGACATGATTCTTGGGTCAGCACAAAATATATAAACATTTTATGGTATGTAAAAATTTCCGCATTGTGATGAAGGAAATAAGCATGTGAACGTCAAAAAATAAGATATTTTTTCTCCATACACAAAAATGACATCTTTTTTCTCCATACATGTATACAACAAAGGCATAAATTCAAAACAACCAGTGGTGTCACAGAAACCCTTCATAAAGTACTACACAAATCTGCATTTTGTCATTTTATGGATTGAAATATGCATAAATAGAAAGAGATCACTGATTTTAATTGGATCTGTTCACTCAGTGCTATGCACTAACCTCAAATTTTTTTATTGCTGGAAACCGTCATAGAGTACCATGAAGACCATTTACCACATTGTATTGCATCTCCAAAATAACGGCTATATTTCAGCTGAATGTATGAAATTTTTTTATCATAACAAAAGCCTTAATTGAAATTTAATTAGGGAGTAAAGGCCAGTTTAGACCATTCAAGTTCTTGGACGAAGAATGATTGAAATTGATGGAAACTTGTTTTGTCTTGAGCTTGGATGGTGTAAACGATCATATAAGTCCTTGGACGATAGTAGAACATGTTCTACCTTAACGAATCAGCGTCTTAGGTTTTGTGACGTCAACAAGCAGGCATCAGATTATGTCATTTTGTTGTCTGTTTTCATATATTTCAGTCCAAATAAATTGATCTGTTACAGTTTATTTGTGTTAATATGAATTTATTTAGTTATTTTAAACTTATGTAAGTATGATTTTATAATGTTGAAAATGAATAATACGTATATGCAAGTTTTTCTTCCGACCAATCGGTGACATTCAAGAACTTGGATAGTGTCGATGAATCATCCAATTTCTTGGACAGAGAAATTCCTCCAATTTCTCAGGTTCAAGAACTTGGATCGCGTAAACAGGCCTTAAGACAAAAAGCACTGGAAATTATTGAAAAAGTTTAAAGATCTATATCATTGAGGAAGGGAACCCATTGCAAAACAGCTTTATTGTATTTTCACTGTTCTTATCAAATATTGTCTCTATTTCTGGGAAATGTTATCGATAAAATTTCATGTTAATGAAGCACTTATCGAAATTTTATTACTGCACCCTGTAATGCCAGAAATAGATACAACAGCTATTTGATAATTTGTCATTTAAACTTTACACTTAAGTTGTTAAAACTGTGATATAGAACAAAATAAACTGTGGTAGAAAGTATGGAAAACATTTTGTCCTTTTAGCTACGGTTTTAAAAAAATCATTTACTTTAAAAGTTTCAGACTGAATTGGTATTGTGTTAATTTAACCTTTATTTAGGAGGAGCAATATAGTGCGAACGTTTTTACTGAGGTGACAAAAGTCGTAGGATATTGTGTCAGACCTCCTCTAGGAACTGCAGCAACTTGACCTGGTATGGACTCAACAAATAATTGGAAGTCTCTTGAGTGAACATTCAGCCTCAATAAATGGCCATAGTTGTGAAAGTGTTGCGGATGCAGGATTTTGTGCACAAATTGACCGTTCGATTATATCCTATAAAGATTCAATGGGATTCATGTCAGGAGATCTAGATAGCCAAATCGTTCGTTAGAATTGTCCAGAATGTTCTTCAAACTGGTCGCGAACAATTAAAGGCGCGGTGACATAACACATTGTCATCTATAAAAATTCCATCATTGTTTGGTCACATGAAGTTCATCACTGGCTGCAAGTGGTCTCCAAGTAGCTGAACATAACCTTATTCAGTCGATCGTGGAGATATAAAGAAGGAGACTACTCTTTATTCTTCCCTGTAGTGACTGTGAAGTCAGTGTGAAAGCCCGCTGACCATATTACTTATCCAAAGAGAACATTCTTTCCTCGTATTTGGAACACATTTTTAAAGAAATAGCCTCGTCTCTAATACATATTTCACCTTTTTTTTCTAACAATATGGATTATAGTAACCTCGAAAATACAGAAAAGCCAGTCTTGGTGCTTGAAATCTATATTTTTTTTAATTAAAGAAAAATCTGGATATTAAAAAGCCATGCTGAAAAGAACAAAAGCTATATTGCTGTATTATTATTTCATTCTTCTTCTTGAAAGCTCAATTTCTTTTTAATTTGATAAATAAATTATAGACACTATAGAAAATTGTTATTTTTTTTCTCCTTTTTTTTGGCTTTTTGTTATAAAATTTCAATGGCTTTAACTTACGACAAGATGTCATTTATGTAATTCCTGAATATGTATTTAAAATGCCTAATTATATTTTTTAAATTATTAATTATAGTTAACTTTTTGTACTTTTTAAAAAATATTTTCATTTGATTTAAAAATAAAAAATGTTTCATCTAGGCATTTATAAAGGTTTTATTAATAATTTTGTGAAGACATGCAATTTTAAAATTAGCAGTTTTAGAGTATAGATTAAATAAAGCAATTAAAATTAGTGAAAGAAAACATGCTTTCATTCGAACTAATAATTCATTTGAAATAATTTATAAATTGAGTAGAACAGAAAAAAACACAGACCACAATTTTTCTTACAAACTGTTTTTCTCATTTACGATTACTTTAATTTTTATTTTCGCAGTTACCCAACATCTTTTAAAAAGTTTAACTTTTAAAGAACATTAACAAAATAAAATACACAAAAATATTTCTAAAAACCTTTCTTTTAAATATTTATTGTTGCAATGAATATTCTGTGAGAAATATGTCAAGAAACATTAAAATATTTATTTCTACTAATTTTTTTTATTGAGTTTTTTAATAAATGTATTTTATTGGTATAAGAACCTTTACAAAGAACTGAATTTTAGAAGAGCTAATAGTTTAAAAAAATTATAGAGATTGACAAAAGCTGCAATACAACATTATAAATATATTTTTTTAATTATTTACTTTTCTAAACTGTAAAATGTTGTTAAAAGTTGCACATACAATAACAGTGAGGGGGAAAAAAACATTCCATACTACAATTTTTTTTTTTCCAATACAATCAAGGTTTATAAGTCATCTTAATTGACATTTTATTTTAACAATTATTGGCCAATTAATGAAATTATTAAATTCCTGATATATTCTTTGACATATTTGAATAATTGTAGAGCACACGAGACTGTCCCATGATGTTAACATTTGAATTTATCTTCAACATAACAGCGGTGCGAATACACTAATAGCGCAAGATTTCTGTGTAAGTAAGATTGCTACCCGTAGGAAAAAAAATGCTTCACGTACAAGAGCAAATGCACACTTCTACCTCCATGTCAATGAACGGACCATATGACCCAGTCCATACCATAAGGGAGTCGCCAACGGATTGCACAGTGCCTTGTTGACAACTTTTGTACATGGTTGAATTATTACTTTGAACTATTAGCTCTGGCCAGCTGAAATCGAGACTCATCTAACCAAGATACTTTTTTCCAGTCTAGGGTCCAACAGTACGAGTCCAGGAGAGGCGCTGGACTATATGCCCTGCTGTTAGTAAAGGCACTCGAGTCTGTCTTCTGCTGCCATATCTCATTACAACCAAATTTCACCTAGCTGTCCTAACTTGCACACCCATCTCACGTCCCACAGTGATTTTACGTTGTCAGCCACTACTCTATACCAATGAGGTTATACCTGAAATATAGTATTCGCTGCGCATTCTTAATATTGATTTAGAACGTTGAATTTCCGAAATTAAATGTTGCATACGTCTAGCTCCAACAACCATTCCGCTTTCAAAGTCTGTGAATTCTCGTCTTGCAGTTATAATTACATAATAAACATTTTCAGATGAATAATTTGAACAAAAATAAAAGTCCTGCCTGTGCACTACTTAAACATACATTTTGTATGCGATACTACGTTGCATATTGCTTTTCCATGACTTTCGTCGCCTCAGTATATAACTCTTTCCTTTCAAAGAAAACTTTGGATGTTATTGTATATTTGAAAATCTTTTGAAATTTCTGCAAAACTAGGGGTGTGCTCAGACTTATAACAAAGGCCGTATATTTAACAAAAATAAAATAAAAAATCTTCTTTTTTTATTCTTACAATCTTCCAAAACTGCATAAGAGGAATATAAAGCATTGATTTTTTCTTCATGGAATACGAGCTCTTGACTTTTTGAGTCTTGTTCTTAGGTCTATCGACTCGGCCACTTGACCACGTTCAAAAGAAAGTAAAAGAAGCTTGACAAAAAGTGATCGATCGCTAAAAAAGAAATGTAACATTTATATACAGACACCAATAGAAACAACTATGGGCTGAACGCGTTGTCTGAAAATTCCTTGATATCTAATTATGAAGTTGCATTTATTATTTTAATTTTTTTCTTCAAAAAGTAGGTTTTTGCATAATTGTTTGAAATAATTATTAAAACCTCGATTCCAGATCACTCAAAATGA